CGAGAAAAAAGTAGTCCCGAATCAAGTTTTGAAAATCATCGTACGGGATGAAGTTTTTACGATCGAAAGTCTTAAAATGCATCAATAAAGAGTAACGTTCGAGAAATACTCGAGGAAAAATCGATCAGTACGACGGATCGTCGATCAGTACGCATCCGGACGTCCGGATGGCCGAGGAAATACTAAGTCCCGAACCAAGTTTTGAAAATCATCGTACGGGATGAAGTTTTTTACGATCGAAAGTCTTATAATGCATCAATAAAGAGTAACGTTCGAGAAATACTCGATAAAAAATCGATCAGTACGACGGATCGTCGATCAGTACGCATCCGGACGTCCGGATGGCCGAGGAAAAAGTAAGTCCCGAATCAACTTTTGAAAATAATCGTACGGGATGAAATATTTTACGATCGAAAGTCTTAAAATGCATCAATAAAGAGTGACGTTCGTGAAATCCTCGAAAAAAATTCGATCAGTACGATGGATCGTCGATCAGTACGCATCCGGACGTCCGGTTGGCCGAGGAAATACTAAGTCCCGAACCAAGTTTTGAAAATCATCGTACGGGATGAAGTTTTTTACGATCGAAAGTCTTAAAATGCATCAATAAAGAGTAACGTTCGAGAAATACTCGATAAAAAATCGATCAGTACGACGGATCGTCGATCAGTACGCATCCGGACGTCCGGATGGCCGAGGAAATACTAAGTCCCGAACCAAGTTTTGAAAATCATCGTACGGGATGAAGTTTTTTACGATCGAAAGTCTTAAAATGCATCAATAAAGAGTAACGTTCGAGAAATACTCGATAAAAAATCGATCAGTACGACGGATCGTCGATCAGTACGCATCCGGACGTCCGGATGGCCGAGGAAAAAGTAAGTCCCGAATCAACTTTTGAAAATCATCGTACGGGATGAATTTTTTTACGATCGAAAGTCTTAAAATGCATCAATAAAGAGTAACGTTCGTGAAATCCTCGAAAAAAATTCGATCAGTACGATGGATCGTCGATCAGTACGCGGAATCGTCGAGAAAAAAAAATCGAGTCCGAGAAATCCTCGGTCCGGGCTTGGAATCATCGAGAAAAATCTATCGCTAACGAGAAATCGTCGATCTGCACGCGGAATCGTCGATCAGAACATGCGTCAGTACGATCAGTACGTGTATCAGTACGTACGGATGGCCGAGAAAAAAGTAAGTCCCGAATCAAGTTTTGAAAATCATCGTACGGGATGAAGTTTTTTACGATCGAAAGTCTTAAAATGCATCAATAAAGAGTAACGTTACAAGAAACAGAAATATATTATGAAAATACATTTACGATTTTACTAAGATTTGACCCATTTGATTCAATTGGTAGAACTTCTACCACGCTGAAGCTCTACACTATAATGCCATCTGGTTCCTGTTTTATATAAGCTAAGGTAAGCTCTGAAACTTGATTTCTCTCATAAATGTATTTTAGACTGCCATAGACTTAATTAAGCACACAAATAAATAGATTTTCAACAGTGCCTTGTGTACTAAATACAACGTTACAAGAAACGGAAATATATTATGAAAAAAAATCTTACAAGAAGATGCGATTGTAGTATTTGAACCAGGGTTACAAGCGTTTGAGGCATGAGAACAAACCATTGCACCAACTAAGAAATTTCAATATATGTGAGCTTTAGTAGTATATATATATTGCACCATTTACGCCTAAAATATATATAAATTACACGTGAAAGAGGGATTGAACTCGGGTTTATTGTGCTAAAAACATGTAGAATTAACCACCAAGATACATATCTTATTTGGTAGTGTAGACGAAACTTAATAATATAACATATCATGGCATGTCAAAAATAATTGGGTATTTTTAACTCTGATTATATGATATGAAACTAGAGACAAACACAAGCATATTCATATATTCAAATCACAAATCCATGAAAGAATTGAATATGAAATCTCAGTTTAAAGTATAAAAAGTTAAAAACAAGACAAATAAAAGCTCGATTGTCGATGAAAACCAGACCGGGCCGCTTTGCGACCCGGCCACGACGTAGCCCTCGAAAAATTAAGAACACAGAAAAAAGAATCGCTCGATTCCGACAACTCTACTAAAAGTTATCGCGTTTTAAAGTTTTGCAAAACCCTATTTCACATCAATTTCACGACGTAGGCAAAGTAGAGGCAAGGAGAGATTAGAACGCTGGATTAAATTAGGAAATATTCTTATTAACCCTTATAATTTCTAATTATTTACGATTTATGCCATCCCTTCTAACATAAACAATAGAATACGCCTCTTCTTCTTCGTGGTAGCTCTCTCTTCTTCGTGCTAGCTCTTCCTCTTCCATAATCTATGTACCAAGGGTGCTCACGATCTCGGACACACCATAGATATATGCGTATGTAACTCTTCTCCTTTGTTCGTTTTTGTATAGCTTCAATCGATTTAGGGTTTCTCAGTTTTTTTGGGACCAGTACGGAGAAAATTGCAGAAAAACTGGGCTGGGGCTTGGTGGAAACGATTTGCCTCTTTTATGCATTTCTTCTACTGTTCGAGCTAATTAAATATGGTTTTTTTTTTCTACGATTTCAGAACCTGCAACTTTTGGATGCAATTCTCCTCTCCTTATGTAAACGTTTATTGCTTCTTCTCTTAGTTCCTATGCCAATTAATTCTGGGTAACTGTAATTGCGGAGAACAAAACTCTAAAAGAACAAATCACGGCTTAAATTTCGTGGTTATTAAATAACCTATGAGCTTACAACGCTCTAATGCCATCTGATTTCTATATGCTAAGGTAAGCTCACTTCGATTCTATGGTTGTATGATTCCTCTTATGTTGTTGGTTCCTTTAAACTGAATGTTTTGAAGCCTTCTACTGATTCGTTGGATCTTTTCTCCAATTACGTCTAATGTTCTTATAATCTTTCATTGAAGTTATACCGTATGCTAAAAATAATCTCTCATAGCCCTGAGCTTACTAGACGAAATTCAGAAAGCATGCTCGTCTTACGTTTATGGCTTCAAAATTTCTTCACTTTGCTTTGCATGCCCTGTTGTGATTTTATGCTTTTCGTCTTTACCTTAATGATGAAAAGGACTTCTCATTCTATGCGACAATGAATTTAACTTATGGAGCTTAATTTACTAATAGGAACAGATCCATCAATACATAAACTTTAAACTTACAATCCAAATTCTGAATTTTTTTAAATACATATGTTGAAAACCAAAGCATTCAGGTCTTTTATATCTCTGTTTCACTTCCACAAATATATTATTTTTCTTTTAAATTATGCTTATCTATGTAACTTTAAGATAGCTCTTAAGAAGGAAACCTGTAACCTTCACTAAGTCTCTCTGAATATACATCTCTCTCTCTTTAGTTTAACATGCGTCACATAACTAATTGCATGTCTAAGTATAATATTGAAAGACAAATGCTTCTTCATTTACTTCTTCAAATGCCATCTTTATGATTCACGTAGAAGCTCATCACCTATATCCTACAACACTGATTTCTATGATTCATCTTATGCTTCTCGTTCCTTTAAAATGAATGTTTTCAAGCCTTATATTGATCTTTTCTTCAGCATATTGTGTTGTCTATATGCCATTTCAGTTCTTATATTTTTTTCAGTTAGTTTTGTTGGTTATTTAAGTTTCAGTCATTGCGTTTGCATTAAAGGAATATTCATTTCCCTAATTGTTAATTGTTTATACCCAATTGGATCTTACATGGCCATCTTAGAAGATGAAATTCTTAAACAATGTGAAACTATAGAAATATTTTTACCAATGTAAACAAATATTTTAATCTTCACGGTGCACATACAATAGTTTGATTTGTAACTCTCACCTCTTCAATTTTGTCATTGTGAAGATTATAGGTTTATTATTTAGGGTACTTTCAGTTACAGCATTTGCATTAATGACATATTAGAAGGAACTTGTTGAGTTTATTTTTTGTTGTTTATTATTAAACGCTTCACTCTACTTTAATTTGTTCCTTCTTTCGGTTCAGAAATGCGGTTGAGCGTTTGAGCCTTAATTTCATCAACGAATGTACTAAGCCTGGTCGGGAGCTATTTCTTTAACATACACATAGTCTAACTACCTAGTAAAACATCTATATATCTAATATATCAACACAGATTAACGTTTATATGCTTTGTTTGCCATGTGCTCTGCCCCGCTAACACTCTTTTACATTTTCATGTGATCGTACCATAATTGGATTTTTGTGGAAATTGTTTCCCATATCTCTTATTGATCTATTTATTTCAATACTTTTGTGTGTGTGTGTCATGAGTAGTTCAAGTATTGTACGAACTATTTAGTTCACAATTTATATAAATGTAGAGACACACATACGTGTCTTTTTTATTTTTAGTAATGAGTTCTAGGTTTTTGTCTCTTATCAATCTTCTTCATCTAAGTCAATTGTAAATTTTCTTTCATTAATTAATTAATATGTGTCCTGTTTTCTCTCTTTTTACATTAATTAATGTGTATCATGTTTTCTCTCTTTCTTTTAGCATGCTCAAGACAGTAGTGAACAGTACTACAAAAACAGTTTGGCTCCATTAACGTCAATAATAAACATGCCAACGAATTTTTGGTGCTCCTAATATTTGAGATTTGTATCATTTACCAAAAACTCAAGAGGTGTATATCTCTAGCTCCCTCTGTACAATAAGATTTGTATCATCTACATAAAAATTTTTGGGGAGGATATAGGTCTTCATAATTTAGTTGAGTCAAAGCGTCAACTAGATAGTACTATGCGTTTTTTTGCTGGATAGAGGAATGAGATAAGAGATAGAGATTATAGCTTTACGGAAATATCTCTATGTTTTTTTTGTCATGAATCCAGCTCTGATGGCAAAAATTTAAGCTATTCATGGGAGTCTGAAGTCTTTACCTTTTACGAGAATATGCACTTGCATCACTTGGTCAGATTGGATCAAGTATGTATCGAGTCTTTAATTGAAAATGGGGTTTAATCAAGTAAGTAAACATTAATATATCTAATATATCTACACACATTCTCACTGAGTGTTTATATGTATTTGGGGTGAGTTCACGTTTCCACAGATGTTGAGATGCTACCACCTCACACCTCATCTGTGATAGTACAACCATCATGTCATGTGTCCCTCCCACATTTTTTTGTTTGGAAACAAAATAGGCCTACTTTAAAGGGTTTAAATCATAAGTTTGTTTACTTGGGATTAGACTATTCACGTAAGTGGTTTCCATTCCATGTGATTGTACCATAATTGGTGCATCTGGAAATTCTTTCCCATATCTATTATTTATCTATTTATTTATCTCACGATTTTCATATATGTAGAGACATAATAAGTCTCTCTTTTTTTTTCTCCCTGGATAGAGTAATGTAATATGAGAGAGAGATTATAGCTTTTCGGAAATACTGTAGCTGGCTGAGATCCACTTTATCTTGAATCCAGGTGTGAAGATGATGATTTAATCTATTCATGGGACTCTGAAGTCTTTCACTTTAAATTTTATTTTTCTCTTAAATTTTTAGAAAAACCTCAAATTAAATAAATAAAACATTAGAATAATCTTAATATAATTATATACTGGATCACAAAAACTAAATATAATGATACATATATTAAAAATATCCAACGTAAATAATGGAGATGAATCTTTTCAATTTCATTCCCTTGTTTTGCGATGATTAGAATTGATATTTTTAACTTTTGTTATAGCCATCAAAACTTTTATTTTACATATGTGAATTAAAAATTAAAGACGAAATAGGTATAATCTAGTATGGTGTTAGGAAAAATTTTTTTTGAGAAAAAAATTATAATCTTTCTTAAAATGATGTTTTCATTGATTTCAACCCATATATTGTAACAAAACAATAAATACATGAATATAATATAAGAGGATGATACAATGATTACTTATAAGAAGATAATGTTGACAAAAAAAAAAAAAAAAAAATCTAAAATAGACAATGGATATGAATCTTTAAAAAATAAAAAAAAAACTAATATAGAAATTAGAATTTAAATTTAAGCTTTTACAATGATATTTAATTTGAGTTAATAATAGATAGTATTGTATCATAATATTATATATTTGAAAATATTAAAAACAAGAGAGTGGAAGCCATGTAATGTATTTTCTATATATACAAAAAATGTTGTTACACTATTATTTATTTTAATTATACAATATTAAGATATTTATATATATAATTTACATACATATGTTTTGAATTTATTAAACTTTTTAATCTTCTACTTTGATAAAAAATTTCTTTAGTATTTACATTGTTTTGGATAAAAATTCGTTGTCACATATATTTATTATTATGATACTCAAATATTTAGTTTTGTTAGTTTATATAAAGTATAAATTCACACATAAGGTATGCAATTATTAAAAGTAAAATTATTTTGTAATTGACAAACTAAATCTGTTTCCTATAAAGTTATATAAACTACAATCTAGTTATTTAAAGATAATCTCAAGGATAACGTCTATTTGTTATAAATCTTTTTTATATTCAACTCAATTTAAATATTTATAGGATTTAAATTGCTAGGTTGTATTATAAATATTTTTTAAATAAATTCTTTTGTTTTAGAAAAAAACTTAAACCACAAACGTTGAAGAGAATAAACATTATAATTAATGATCTTTAGATCATTATTTATTGGATCACAAAAACTAAACTGATGAGTGATGAGTATATTAAAAATAATACATAACATTATGAGAAATTGTTAAAAATGTATTTATAACTTGTAAAACCTTATAAAAAATTTGTAAAACCTTATAACTTGTAAAACCTTATAAAATAGCTTGTAAAATCTTATAATATCTTATAAATATCTTATAAATACGTTGTAAAACCTTTTAAAAAACTTGTAAAACCTTATAAAAAACTTGTAAAAAACCTTTAAAATACCTTCTAAATTTTTCCTTATAAATTTAGTATGAGTGATGAGTATATTTATAAGGTATTTATAACTTGTAAAACCTTATAAAAAACTTGTAAAACCTTATAACTTGTAAAACCTTATAAAAAACTTGTAAAACCTTATAACTTGTAAAACCTTATAAAATAGCTTGTAAAATCTTATAATATCTTGTAAATATCTTATAAATACGTTGTAAAACCTTTTAAAATACATTGTAAATTTTTCCCGCCAAAAATTTAACGGCAAAAAAATTGCAGAATCACTTTTCCCGCAAAAACAATTTTTGGCGGGAAAAAATTTTACGGAAAAATTTTACAAGGTATTTTAAAGGTTTTACAAGTTTTTACAAGTGTTTTGGCGGGAAAAATTGCGGGATCACTTTTCCCGCCAAAAAATATTTTGTATTTTGTGGACCTAATTTTGTTATATTTTCTTATATATTTGTGATATCTTTTATTAAAAGAAGGGTAATTTAGTCATTTTGTACATAAAGGGGGTATTTTTATAAATGGACAGCCAAAGGAGGCATTTTTGAAAAGGGGTATTGAAAAAAGGGCATTTTTGTGAGTCTCCCTAACATTATTTAAGATAAGAAAGTAGTATGTAAGAAATTTAACAAAAATATTATTTGATATTACAATAATTTATTTATTGTAGAAAATGGAGATGGATCTTCTCAACTTGATTTTCTTCTTGAGGAATGGTTGGAATTGATATTTTTAAAACTTCATCATTAAATCTGCAAAGTATATAATTTTTAATTAAAAACAGAAATTATAGCCATCAAATTTTTTAAGATACATTTGTAGTTTTGGATTAAAAATATAAAAATTAAAAAGGTATAAGTATATTCAAGTAACACATTAGAATAAAAAATAAAATTGAAAAAAATCTAAGATATATGCCATATAGTTTCTAAAAACAAAATTTAGAATCAAACTTGTACAATGATGTCTCAATTGATTTTTCAACCCATGCAACAACATAAAAACAAAGAAAGTATTTAGGGTTAGAGATATGGTGGAATTCGAATATTTGAGAATGACTATTTATAGAATGGAAAGTGATGGAAGTTACATTTTAATAGTTATTAAATTATAGGAGTTACAATTTGAATTTATCATGTGTTTAAATGACATTGAGTGGAGAAAAATATAATTAATACACAATTTGTATGATGGTTACAATTTGGTATTAAATGGTAGATTAATGTATATGCATAAATGTGTTGTATTTGTGGTTTAGTTAGAGATAAATATTATTATATTTTTTTTTTTTCAAAATGTGAATTGCCAAATGGACCAATAAAGAGAGAATGAAACCTTATTTTTTTATATATGATTTGTGACTTAGAAAAGATAAGGGTTGTAAAAAGGACTAAAAACCAAACCAGTCACACCCTAAACTAATCTAGAATGTAAACATAGTTCAGACGAACCTCTGTTCTTTATTAGGAACCACTTAAACAATCCTTACAAATATGTTTAAGAAGATTTACATGCATTCAACACGACTGGTCACTGACCAGTTCCTAACTATTCAACTCGCTGACACAATAACAATTGTGATTCACTCTTTGTTTACTCACCAAGAACCCTAACAAGCTTTTTTGCTTTTGCTCTTGTGATTTATCTGTGAACGGCTAACCTAAACCTAAAGTCTAGATTCAAAATATATAGGTGCATCCATACATCTCGTAGCTGACATAGTCTCCATATTTTCAATATCTCCAAATCTTCTATTTCTTGATTTTTTTAATATCCTAAAAGATATGCTGTGGATGTTTGATTCACACACTCAAGTATTTATGTATTTCTGTGCTAAACATCTCAAGATCAAAATACAAGACACAAATACGTGTAGAAAATAGTATGAAAGTATAGACAAAAGTGTAGAGAAAAAATAGTATAGTATTAGCTTTGGTGCAAGGATTCAATGTCCCCATTTTGGCCATGGGGTCCCATATTTATACAAAGTGATTTACAGTAATTGGTTAATTAATATAATAATTTCTCATAAACATGTCCATTTTGATTCTACAATAAATGTCATAACGTCTTTGTTAGAATTGTTTTGACCCCTTCATGGGCCTTCGAGTGCTCGACCTATTTACTTGATTCTGAGCTCTTCTTTCTCTTTGGCATCTCCTCCGAACTCTTTGGTTTGCTTAGCCATATTTGGAGACTTCGGTTTGGGCACTCATCTTGTTGATTCTCACTTGATTGACTTTTGATCCACGTGGTAATCTTTGGACGGATCCGAACTTAGAGTTCGAGATCCGACACCAACAATTAGCCACCCAAGTCTTTTGAATTGTTGCTTTAGTTCGGAGGACTTAATAACTTAATGGTGAAGATTGCTCCATACGATCTTTGACTCCGTGATTTTATGTGTCACGTCCCTTGGATTTTGGAACTTGCCATGATTAGTTATCTTGAAATCTGTCGTATTTACTTATCTGATTCTTTTAATTTATTATTAAAGCGGGGAAAAACTCTTCCACTTGTCCCACGATTTTTGAGGTGGTTTCATCCTCAGCCACAACTTAATAAGGTAACTTTTTCCTCTTTTCTTATTTACTTAATTTCTTGTATATTTTTTTCAAAAAGATTCCTCTTGCTCTCCCTTCGCTGACTTTAACTCTATTTGTCATTTTTCACTTTGATTTCTTTAACCAAAAAGAAAATGAGCACTTCGCCTGTTAGAATCCACTCCCAGACCGAAATCTCCAATGGAAAGGTCTGGCTCTCCTGCTGATGAGGAGAACCCTGCATCGCCTCAGGATTTACTATATACTTTCCTGGAAAACGTCGCCGATCTTCACTATCATACGAGTACCACCATCCAATCCCTCACAAACATGGGGAGGTTATGCCAGGTACTGGATGAAGTTCACGAGTTTTCGCCTTTCCTCTTCAACCTGAGTCTCCGGAGATCCATCAACCCGGATATTTCCGTGTCTACAAGTTTTATCTCAAAGAATATGGCATGAAGTTTCCCGCTCTTGGAGGTCATGGTTCGGTACCTCGAAACTCTAAAAATCGCCCTTCCTCATCTCTCCCCCAACTTACTCTGAATAATTATGGGGATCCTCATCGTGGAAATGAAGGCATGCTATATTATTGTTGTACCAAAACCTTTGGAGCTCATCCTGGATCGAGTTTCACCAAAGACTTTTAATACTTTCACTGGTTATCCCAACCGGGAGAGAATGCTGATTTCTTACCTACCGAACCAAGATGACAACTGGCTTCCTCCCTGGTTTCTAGTGAAGATGACCCCATCAGTCAAAGGCCTCTCTTCTCGGGCGAGGAAAGCAAGAGACAAAGTGATATATTACCCGCTATCTACCCTCTATAGGGAAAAGATGCACAACTTGGAAAGTCTCGTAGATGAAAAGGATTACTGGAAGACCCTGCTGGTTGACGACGGTAGCCCCGATAGTTCCTGTTCAATGTTTGCTACGAGGCCAACTCCTCGCCATGGTTCCCCACGAGCTCCACCATCTCGGGAAGACCCTCC